CAAATCTTCATATAAGTATGAAAATCATGAGTGCTTTAAAGACTACAGGCCTGTAGGAAGCAAATTCAGTTTGGGGGGGGGGGGCACAGCCATACATTTTCAGTTGACAGTTGAGGGGGCACTATCTAAAAATTTCCTGACAAGCAAAAAAAAAAAAAAAAAAGAGATCATCAGACATTTTTATTGAGGGGGCACAAGCATATACATGTAGTATCTAAGTTTACTATAGTAATCTATATATCAGCAAAATTCAAACCTGCCCCCCCCCCCCTCCCCCCCCGTTCCTACGGCCATGGACTAAAATGCACTCTTTAAGTTTCTTTATATATAGGTATATTGCCACTATAATGTATGATGAAATGAATTAGACCTAACATTTTTTTTTCCATTTTGTCAGTTTTTTTCTGAACTTCAAAACTTGATATAGTTTCAGTGTATTATTGCCTTAAATAAAATAATATTTCTTGCAGGTGGTAGGAGAATGCCATTGACGCTCAACCACATTTTGCAGTTTGTGACTGGTGCATCAGAGGAACCAGTTTTGGGCTTTTTCCTCCATCCATCGATCGAATTTGTCTGTGCAATGAATTCATTTTTGCCAACTGCAAATACTTGTAGTAATTCATTAAAATTACCGAGACCAACTGGAGACTTGCCATTGCCATCACACACAGACTTATTCAACCTCTATGACTATGCATTTTCCAACACATATTTTGGATTATTTTAAAAAAAAATTCTGCTGCATGTTCTATGAATAATTAAGATAGAATACTGCACAAATTAAAGTTTGCTGTATGGATCATAGAAGAATGATAAATGTTAAAATAATATACCTTCTATTATTACATGTATTTTTGTATTTTCTCTGAGAAAACTGTTTTGGTTGAACATACTCTAGCAATCTAAAATTGCTGTTAATGCATGTGAATACCCTGTATTGATATAATATTACCAAACATTTTTTTTTCTAAAACATAAGAATTTAAATCAACTGTTGAAAACATAAGAAATATGGATGAAATTTTATTGTATTACTCCCAATCAAAATAAGCCAGATTTGTACTGGAATACACTGTAATCAAAAATGGAGGTATATGTCACCCAAGTTAATTAGGTGACCTATTATTATCTGCATGTATGTTTTCGTCTGCCAGTTTGAATCATTAATTGGAAGACCATTAAAAACATTAAAGTTGGAATTTTTTGTCAAGTGAGTAAGCTGACCCATGTGCATAAATGTTTTGCAGCATCTACTTAATTAACTGTTATTTAGGAAAATGGTTTTAGTTACTAAGTTATCACGGTACCTGTTGCATCCAGGCCCTAGGATCATGAAACAGACTTTAAGACTTGAGTCAAATTTTCAATCACCTGGAAAATGTTCATTAATTATTGATTTTATCTCTAAATTTGCAGATAACAGCACTTATGTAAAGCAATATTGAAAAATTTCTGTCCCCCACTTTTACTGAGAGTGGGGGATATTAATTTCTGTCTGTCCGTTCATCCATAAGTATATCTGTCTGTCTGTCTGTAACACTTTTGTTTCCACATGGTATCTCGAGAAACTTTTGAGCTTTTACTGTGAAATTTTACACAACTCCCTATGGCCTAAGGAAGACCCCTATTGATTTTTTGAGGTCCAAAGGTCAAGGTCAAATTCTGTCTTTTAACACTTTTGTCTCTGCAAGATATCTCGAGAAGTCTTTGAGATTTTGCAGTGAAATTTTATACCACAACTCCCTATGGCCTAAGAAATACCCCTATTTATTTTGAGATCCAAAGGTCAAGGTCATAAATTCATACATTCTGTGTGTGTGTAAAACTTTCATTTCTGGGCAATATTTCAAGAAGCTTTTGAGTTTTGCAATTTTTTTTACCATAACTCCATATGGCCCTGCCCGCCCTTCTTAAAGTGTCCTCCCCTTGACACCCCTCCCCCCCCCCCCCCAATCTGCGCACGCTCTTCTTTTTTCTTAAGCAGGGGACACAGATTCTCTGAATTAACTAGTTTAATTTTGGTCTGTTTGACGTCTACAACATTTTAGTACAACATAAAAATTTTGACTTAAGCTTCAGATGTATCATGATTCTGGGGAGCGATTCTTGGTTGACAGTGTTTAAAAATATGAAATGATGTACAATTGTAATAATTGTCATTTATTGCAAGCATGCAGGTAAATTTTAGTAATTTAAAAATTAATTATTGAAGGTTTTGGGTTTTTACGTAGGAGTTGATGGATTACAAAAGAATTGTAAATGCTTTGTACATGCAGTATAGATCAGCACATATATTACATGTATTTTTCAAAGCAAACCACATTTTGAAGTGCATTTATTTCAGTGCTAGTTTGTGGAGTTATTAGATGAAATAGTTTATATTTCATCTTCATATTTTTTGTCAAAATGTGTGAAAGTTCTTAAAAACTAAATTTTATTATTATAAATTTTGCAATATTTTTAATTTAGACACGAAGTATAGTTATGCTTCTGTAATCGAAGATTCAAGGGTATATAGTTTTTGCCCTGTCTGTCCGCAAAACTTTAACATTGCCCATAAATTTTGATTGTTTGGAGCTATGGCTTTCATATTTCACTTGTGTATTCCTTGTGACAAGACCTTCCTTTAGGTACCAATATATTTGAACTCTTGACCTTGGAGTTTGACACAATTTTTCAAAAAGAACAAGGTACGGTTTCAAAACAAATCTTGCCCTGTATTTTTCTTAAAAATAAAAGTGTTGTAAAAAATTAAAACTCATGATTTCTGAATCATTGAAATTCCATGCAGAAAGATCATACAAATCATTTTTTTCACATGACCTTCTAAATGTAATTGTGGCATCATAAACTTGTGCATTTTTCCTGTATTTTCTTAAAAAGTTGCAGAAGACACCAATTTTCAATGGAATTTTCTTTCAGATAATATTGTCCACAGGCATCGCCCACAAATATTTTGAGATATGTAATTTTTTAAAGAATTTTAAACAACATATCTGAAAACTAAAGTGGGCGAAGGCTGTGGGCACTATTTTCTTAGGGAAAATAATCCTTGAAATTGGTCATTTTAAGGCTTTTCTGTTTAAAATAGAGAAAAGTATCAAATTAATGACGTCATATTTCTAGAATGGTACTCCTTCATGTCATATTCTTTCTTGATTTATCAGTCATATACTTAACTAATATTTAAGGACAGACGATACGTTCCTCAATATAATATATAATTTCTAAGATTTTGTCATTGGTACCGTACCAGGCATTTGTGCAAGATACCAGAGGATGTTTTTCCTATAAAATCCTTTTGGAAAAAACTTAATTAGCCAATAACACATTTTTTGGTGTTTCATTTTTTTAAAGACAATTAGAAACCAGATTAGAAATCAGGAGGTACTTAAAATTTTTAATATTTTCCTCATAATTCGAAGGTATACAAAACAGATATTTGAGGAACGTATCGTCTGACCTTAAGCCAATTTCATAACTTTTTGATAACATTAAATTTTTAGGGCACAATAAAGCTACAACTGTACCTTCTTTTTTACCCAACTTTAACCTTGGCCATAACTTTTGAACAGTACTAATGAGTAGGTACTAAAGCTTTCATATTTCATGCGTGTATTTATTGTGACGAGACCTTTCCAGGGGTGTAGATATTTTACCTTGACCTTATAGTTTGACCCACTTTTAAAAAAAACTTTAACCTTGACCGTAACTTTTGAACAGTTAGCACTAGAGCCTTGAAATTTCTTAGGTATATTCCTTGTGACAAGACCTTCCTGTGGATACCAACAAATTTTTACTTTTTGACCTTGACCTTTGAAAAACTTTAACTTTTGCCATAACTTTTGAACAGTTGGTGCTAGGACTTTTATATTTTGCATGTGTATTTCTTATGACAAGGTCTTCCCCTATGTACCATTTATTTTTACCCTTTGACCTTGACCTTGGAGTTTGACCCACTTAAGGAAACCACCTTGACGATAACTTTTGAATGGTTGGTGCTTGAGCTTTCATGTTTACCAGGTAAATCCATTGACACAAGTCCGTTCTTTGGGTAACAATATATTTGATCTCTTGACCTTAACCTTGGAGTTTGACTTGCATTTGTAAAATTTTAACCTTCACATTAAGCTGCCATTCGTGGGCATCAGTGTTTCACAAACACATGTTGTTTTGCTATATTTTTATAATATTCCAAGTACTTGTTTTAGCACAGCAATTAGCTTCATAAATACTATGTACATCGTGTATGTCAAATTACATGATCCTTTATTTGATCCTTTGAAAAGTAAAAGCCAAGATGTTCAATTTTGATTTGTATTTAATTTTTTCACTTAATAAAAGATGTTCAAGAATTACACAGATTAAGTCTCTTTTACATTAGTGCATGTATTTTAAAATCAATTCAAACTACATCAATGTCATTCAATTGTAACTAAGGGACTCATCTGCATGGATACACGGTGCCTCATGAAACAGCATTCACAAATTAAGATGGCTTGTACCAACTTTTTGCCTAAAGACAACTTTATAGCTATATACATTTGTGGTTTATAAAACAAAAAACTGATTAGTTAAGCCTTTGAATTATACCTAGGCACTTTTCATAGTCCTGTATTCCAAAATTGTTGTGATAATTCACTTGAGGGATTTCAGCCCTTAATCTTTGAAGCAGGGATGGGGTCAATTACTTTAAAAAGTAATTAATTAAATTACAATTACTTTGATTTTTTCTTCAATTAAATTACAATTAAATTACAGGCTTTCTAAGACATGTAATTAATTAAATTACAATTACTTTGCAAAAGTAATTAATTAAATTACAAATTACATTTTTAATTTTTTGAAAATTTTTATAATCCTTGTCAGTGAATATACACAACATCATTTATTTGTATATAAGCTCAGCCTCTGCACAAACAGTACAAGAAATTATATGCTATAGGCATTGTGTATCTTTCTGGTTTAATTAAATTTTATAACATTTATTTACAAAACAATAAGAATCTCCTTAAAGAACTATCCGAGATCAGTTTGATGCAATTTCCACCACACAAAACCTACATGTACACAAATTGCATGGCTTATGATATTTGATTAAAAGTGTTTATTTTAATAGAGTGAAATGAGTCGCAACTGTAACCCCTCAAATTAAATATTTCCTTTGAAGGTAACCTGAACATCCTAAATTGCTATTTATGTTGAACAATTTTAGGGTAGAGTGGGGTAATTTCGACCACTTATGCTGATTTGTGGCTTTCAATCCACAAAACACGACTGTTTTCAAATGTACTAGTTTAAAAAAGATTCAAAGTGATTGAGATTGATTTTTTCTTCATATTTTTCTGCTTTAGGAGTTAAACATGCATAAAGAATAATGAATTGGTTTAAAAACAAGTAAGCATATTGCGTGGGTTAATTTCGACCGGCCTCGGGGTAATTTCGACCACAACAAACATCAAAAAGAAAGATAACTCTTGCAATGCAAGTAAACTTTACCTGTCGCACTTTATTCAAAATTTATGGTCCCGTCCGAGAAACTATATTGCCTTATTTAGAAAATACGTGTATCTATCTCTATCTCTCTCAATAAAAAGATTAAAATGGATAAGTACTAGTATCCATACAGTAAAGAAATGGGTTGGGTTACTTAAGCTTTTTAATGCTGTCTTATTGACGTCTTAATTCTTATTCCTTATTCTAAATTCTGCTTTTAATTCGCCAACTCTATATTTTAAAATTGTGATATATATAGTTATGCAAATAGATGAAATTTTCTCAGATTCCACAAATAATTTCTTTGATACGATTTTTAATATGTAAAACCCAAAAGTGATTTTATTTAATATCGTCTTTTCACAACACAATCATTCAGATTGTATATATATGTATAAGGTTTGAGCATAGCATTAGAATTGCGTATATTTTTCTTCATTAATTTTTACCATTTACACATTCAATTGGAAATCGTTGTATTACGTATTTTACGTGTTTTTTTAAATTCTGAAAAGAGATAAATCCTGAGAAATTCGATCAAGTCAATTAAATAAAGATTTACAAAAGCAGTCCTCTGAAATCCCCCCCCCCCCCCGAAAAAAAACCAAACTCAAACAAATCATTAATAACGTGTAACATCATAGTGTTTTTTTTTTATTGTTTTGTTTTTTGTTTCAAGATACTTGTGGCTCTTTTGGGTGTTGTTCTGATATTTTGGATACTATTTGGATTTGTGTACCTGGACTGTGTGATACGATCTTAATACGACTGGTTCGTTGGTTTTTCGATAGCCCCAGTCTTATCCGTCAAAGTTTAGGCATTCGTAATAATGAAAAAAAAAATTACAAAAACCTTATTTTTTTTTTTACATACAATTAATATTGCCTGTATCCTCTATTTTGTTAATTTGACTGGTTTGGAAACTTTTGGATTGCTCTCGCCATGTGCTATTTCATAGCCAGTGCCGACTCCGTGTTCTCTCGCACGTCGATCAGTGATGCACCCTCGTGAACGGCCCGGACAATATACTAGTATATAGCTAGGTATGCATATGTTAATTAATCTGACATATTTTTTTTAAATATAAAAGGTTATAGGTAGATAATATTGTACATATACAGTATAATCATTTTTTTTTTTGAAGATCTAACTCTGCATTGCATTAAACAGCTGTTAAAGACAACTTACACATATTTCTGAATAAGTGGTCGAATTTACCCCGCGTCCTTAAAATCAGTAGGGGTAATTTCGACCAAAATCAAATGGACGTTTCTTGTGCATTTTGAGAGAAATCCAAGATAAATTTGTACAATTCTGCAACTTAAAGATATTCCAAGAAAAAATAAAACAATTTTAATTTAATTCATGCTGTAGACTGTTGAACAAGGTTAAACTTAAAAAGAGGTTGTACGAGTTGTCTCTCTTGCATTTCCTTGATAAATCAAGCGCATTGAAGACGGGGACTTCGAACGTCAAACTGGAGACATAAATAATAGTAAAAATATTATTTATATCACTGATCAAGCCATATTTGCGATGAATAATTACACTAGGACACACAATTTGAAGAATAGTTTTCTATAATTCCGAATAAATTAAACATGTCTCAACATTTCCGTAGATCTTCGTGTAGTATTGTGTTCCTGTGGTCGAAATTAAACGGTGGTCGAAATTACCCTGACTTACCCTACTTCATAAATCAGAATTGGACAGATAAAAACTTCATTCATAAAAATCTGTTTAGATGTTAAAATAATTATCAAATTGAAAGGTTTTTTTTTTTTCCTAAAGCTAGCGGAGCATTTTAAATTGAAATAATTATCTTCATTGGCTTTGTCTTCTAAATCATGGAATGAATATCTCTTTAGAGGAGTTGATTTGTTTTTATTGCAATTTAAAGCTGTGATCTGGAGGGCAATTATCTCTTCCCAACAAGAGAGAACTTAATTAATGACACACACCTTCTTTTTCTTTATTATTGATCAAACAACAAAGATTGAAATATAATAAATATGTGTTTCATAGCTGAATAGACCTAAGATAAGTGGTTCAAAATTCATATTTATAAACATAGATCAAAAAATTCAAAATTTACATAATGATTAGAAGGAAACTAGTTTATTATTATCAAGCCAATCATTTAATTATTTTGTAAGCATTAACCTAGGCTAAGATTTTGTATAATTGAAGGATTGAGGATATGTTTAACAATAAAATAAAAACCAGTAAAATGGGGAGGTAGTGGTGATGATATATCATGAATATATCATGAATGTGTATTATATAAAGTAATTGAATGTAATTGAAAAAGTAATTGAAATTACATGGTATTTTTTCAGTGTAATTAATTAAATTACAATTACAAGTAATTGAAAAAATGTTCAATTACAAATTACTTCCAATTACTTCAAAAAATGTAATTAATTACAGTCAATTACAATTACTTTTTTCAATTACCCCATCCCTGCTTTGAAGACAACCACTACTGAGTGCTGGAGTAAGTGGATCAAATATTGGTCTGTCATTCCCCTCTTCATTGGGATCACCCTCATCAATGAGTTCATTGGGTAAATTGGAATCTATGAATTCATCAATACCCACAGAGTTTTGTAGTTGCCCTGCCATCCATAGGTTTTGGGGGGAAGACTTGACACTTCTCAGTTTATGTGTATTCCATGCATTTGACCACACACCAAGTTTCCTGTTTATTTCCCCCATGTATACAAAGTGAAGAGCAAGCAAGTGATCCTTATCTGAACAGTCCAGGATGCCTATATCTTCCATGTAGTAAAACAGCTGATAGAAATAACTCAACACACCATCAAAGACATCTCGCCATAACCTTTCTATTCTCTGGTTGTGTGTACTTTTACCAGTGATCATGCCCCTAGATCCTCTCCTTGCCAACATGTAATCTGCAATTCCTACATTTTCAAGACCTTTATCACTTCGAGCTCGAAGTGGAACTCCATATTTATTAACTCCTGATAGAAAGTGTTGAAAAATAGTTTCTGCCTTGTTGTTATCTGAACAATTTAAAAAAACAATCAGTCTACTAAAACCATCTATGCCACCAGTTATAATAAATCGCCATCTAACAAGTTTGTGGTTGGTATCGATGTGCCACAAGCAATTTGGCCCAGCTACATTGTAGACACGTCTATGAAGTCGCCTCTTCTTCCGCTCCTGCACTCCTGCTGAATCTACTCTGTGTATTGAGTCTCTCAGACGCCATCTCTGAATTTTTTTGCCATTTTGCTCTAGTATTTGTTTTATCATTTTTTCACCACATAATGGAAAATCACGTTTTGTTTGTAAGACAGAAATATCAATTTCTTGGTCAGTTGCACGACTAAATGTCATTTTACTTAGTCCATACCTATTCATTCTGCGATATATTGTCCTCTCAGAAACAGACAAAAGTTGTGCGATTTCAGAAATAAGAAATCCATTTTCCAGGAGATTTTCTAGAGAGCTTCTAGGAATGTCAAACTCGGGAGCACCACCTTGTAGACTTACTTTGGCCAATTTTCCACTGCCATATTTAACACATTCAGTCCTCAGCCTCATTATATCAGAACTGTTAGTTATGCCCAATACTTGAAACTCTGCTATAGAAAGCTTTCCAACTATGTCCGGTGTAATTTTCTCTTGATCAAATTTTGGTTGTACTGTCTCTAAATGAAGTTTTTGGAGAATTTTTGCCATCGCAGTATCGGCCATTTTGACAGCAATTTGGATTAACAACTTCATCATAAAGTTTTACGACTGCATATAAGCAAGTTACCACATTATATAATAGAATGATCACATCATATAAAGAATTGACCACTTCATATAACGAATTAACAACTATATATAATTATTAACCACCTCATATAAAGATGTTACCACTGCATAGCATGATTTAATATATATATATAATAATGTTACTACATAATATAATGATGTTAGTACTGCACATAATAAATTTTTCACTTCATGTAAAGGTGTCGCACTGAATGAAATGAACTTAGCACTCCACATGCAGCGTTTTTCATATAATGTAATGATTGCACTATCACACAAACTGTGTTTATTACTGTATATATTGAACATATCACATCAGAGAAAGATTTCATTAATGTATATAATGGAATAACCACTGCATATAATGATTTTACAGCATAATGTAACGATATTATCACTTCATTACACTATTTAACCACTACATATAATGATGTTACCACTGAATATAATGATAAAACCACTGCATATAATAAAGTTATCACTGGATATAATGATTTTATCACTATATATAATGACTTCACTACTACATATAAAGGTTATACCACATCATATAATATGAAAGTGACCTTCAGGCAGCTATGGCGTTCCATAAACATTCCTTACATTAACCGTTTTAATAGCCCTCTTCGTACGCAGTTCTAGAAGGGGTCGGGGGAGGGGTTCGGACCCCCTCCCCCGGGAATTAGCAGAGTTATGATATATGTATGTATATACTAAAGCAAATAAAAAATGACTTTGGACCCCCCCCCCCCTCCGAAAACGTGGACCCCTGGCCACCACCACGAAATAGGCGAAATAGTTTTTTTTTCACGTTTGGGAATAGACTTAAGGTTTTTTTTTTTTAATTTTTTTTTTTTTATATTTTTGCTCGTCAAGAAATTTTCTGGGTTGGATTTTTTTTTAAGACTGGGACCCCCCCCCCCCCCCCACATGATAATCAGCTGATAATGGTAGAGAAAGATTACTTGATATACATGTTGTTAGAGAAAGTGCTGTACTAATGGTTGGAAAAGCTACAACAGTTTGCAGGTAGTTTGCAGGTAGTATGGGGCAATGTCATGTCAAATCTTGTAAAATAATATGCATATATCATATCAATCTGATTTAAAATCAGATCATCGATGCATTCAACATTCAATCTGATTAAAATCAGATCCTTGATGCTCCTTTTTTCACGATATGTCGCCTCGTAAGCGACATATCGTTAAAAAAGGAGCATCGAGGATCTGATTTTAATCAGATTGCATATATGTATATGATATTCTTCTCTGGTACGTCTTTTATTATGATTGGGATCGAGATACGAATTATTGGGATCGAGATTCGAAATATTGCGCATGCGTGGATGGAAATTGTGGAACCTCGTGGTGTAGATTTATTGATGGTCGAACGAAGAAAAATATAAAATGTTGGTGTTATTCGAAACAGCAGCTGGATATGCTGTTTTCAAGGTGAGCTGATATCTTTATCCATTCATCTTCACTATTATAACGTTGTCAATAATATGTTAGACGGTTCGACCGTTGGTGAGGGCGGAGCCATCAATTAAAGTGAACATTTCTACATTTTATTGTTTAATGAAAGATCAGTGTTAAAATCAAATTGTAATTAGTGTCAGAAAATAATAACAAAGTAAATTTAATTAAAGGTATTTGGTTTTATAAATCGAAAACTTGACTAAGATATTTCATCATGAATTGCCTACCTAGAGTACTCAAAATCAAATAGATTAATGGGGAAAGAGCGTGCACTGGACCAGTCAAGGATTCAACCTACCCAGGCCCAAGAACATTTAAATGTTTTAAAACTCTTTCACCTATACGTATCTGTCCAACAATTAATGCGTGAACTCGCATGAGCATCATTTCTTTATCATTCACGACTTAATTTAAAAACCCCAATCCAGAAACATCAAGTCATTTAATTCTCATCTTTTACTTCCAATGCATGGTCATGACTTCAAATATAAATAACATGAATAAAGACAATATTGTCAGGGACTACATCGGAAGTCAAACATGGGACCCAAACTACAGATGATCTAACTCCTGGGTTATCAGGACACTTATCTGACCAACACTAGGGCTGTGTATCGTGAGGGCTAAAAGTATCAGTATTTTCCTAATTTTAATGGAAAAAATGTAGAGTAAATTTAACGTTTCTGGATTTTTAAAAAACTAATCTGATTCGAATAGTCTGTAGTGCTTTCTAAAACTAACATAAGAGCAAAGTAAAAAATCTTTTTTTAATATCTGGAAAAACAAATTTAACTCAATAAAAGTTTTTTTCCGGATATTAAATTGCATGTTTATGTGAAATCTGTTAAAATTTTAAAACAAAAACTTGTGAATTATAGGGTACATTTCTGGGAAGTATCGAATAGAATATTTATCAATGTATCGAACCCCACCCCCTCCCTGCATCAGTAATAATATTGATGTTTTGTGACATCCCTATCCACCACATAATTAATAAAAAGGATCATATATGGAAGCTTTAAAGAAAAAGATATTTTAGTACTACTAGTACTTAATAATATTGACCTCTTTACATAGATTACCATGGGTAATGTCAAATGAAGATTCTAAGCTAACTAAGTTTTCTCATTGATTTTGGACTTTATACACTAGTCTATGATTATAATCCACCATAGGTTCCAACTGGCTGAATAAATTTTCTGTTCTATATTTTTAAAAGTACTTTTTAAAATAAACATAAGAAATCATTTTAATTTATCCGTTGAAGCATATCCACATGTATAAAACTTCTGAGAAAAAAAAATCACAACAACAAAAATTAGACACAGGTCTCCACCTGCAAATGTATATAGGAACAAGCAGATAATCAAAGACAGACAGACAAACAAACAAACAAACAAATAAATATTTTTAAATAAAAAAAATGAATGAATGAATGAATAAATAAAAATAAAATTTAAAGAAATTAAAATGTATACCCCCCTTCTTGAGTTCATACTATGCAGAATTCAGTAAAGATTTTACCACTATTAAAACATTTTTTTAGGTGTATTATTCAAGAGGAAAATTATACTATGTAACCAAAAAATCATATATTTCTAGTTTGTGTATTGAAAATAATCCTGAAGACATTCGTAATTAATAAATTTTATTAACAAATAAATTATCTCGTTGTTTCTTTTCCCCCAAGTCTGGTGAAAGGGGCCACAGTAAGATCCGCCCCTCCATCGTGCGTAGTATGCAGTCTAGACAGTGACGTCACTGGAATTCGTTAAACTGAGATTTGTTTCACCAAAACATAGTAAGGTTTGTTAAAAGGTGAATAAATCTGTTTTTAAAAAGATAGTACGCATATGAAATATTAATTATGACAGGTTGTTAAAAATTCAACAGTTTCCGCTGATTCAGTCAATGAATGACGTCACATGTCAAGTCTATGACGATCGAGTGCAAGTTAGTTGAAAACGAAAGTAATAAGGATGTGTACTATAAGGATGTTTTTGATTATGAGAATTGATAAAACTTCATTAACGCAGGATTGGAATTAAAATTACGATTCTCCAGCATCTCGTTTATGCGGGAATTTGTCGCGAGATTCAAGATGGAAAAGAGTATGGACGCCATATTGGCGACAAGGTTCTCAGTTCCATAGGTATTGTAATGAAAATATAGTTTACAATAGAATTCAATATATTTTACATACATACGTGTTACCTATAGGGAGAGCTTCGCTCTCACGGGCCCTTTGGGCCCGTGAGAGGGCTCCGCCCTCTATCAATCAAGTGTAATAACCAAGGATGTCCGATTGTTGGCTTGGAGTTCGCACACGTGTGCTTGTGGAGTATATTATACTCAATATGTATTCATTTTAATATTGTAGCTACTTGACGAGAAGAAATTGCAGAAAACAGAAAACTTATACTTGTCTTTTGAATCTCCTGAAAAGGCCAATCAATTGTAAGTCTAGTAGTATATCTGAAACTGTATAATTTGAAAAACAAACAAATTCTGTAGTTTATTGGACAGGTCAATGCATTCATGCAAAGCGAGTAGATGGAATGTTCTATTGTGTAAATTATATTGCTCAAACAGTTGTATTTGTGCTGTGTACATGTATGTGCAAAACAACAATGTGTAGGATAGGGCTGGGACGATACAACTTTTTCTGTATCGATACGTATCCCGATATTTGAGCCAGGATACGATATGTATCACGATTTGTTTAATTGGTTATAAATTCTTTTTTTATATTGAAATGAACAAGACATTTCTTCACAAATAAGAATAATTTATTCAAAGAAGTTATATATCTGTTGTAAAACTTAATTATTTTGGTCCCAATTATTATGTATTTCATATTCATATTTATATTAAGCATATTTATTTTACATATTAAACCCAAAATGTTAAGTTAACAAAGAAAAACATTAGTAAGAATTTTTTGGGCAATATGTTGATATTTCTTCATACGTATCGATATGCGTATCATCCTCACATTGAATCGATATTATCGATATCTCGATATATTGTCCCAGCCCTAGTGTAGGAACAAGGGAAACACATTGGATTTTCTCTAAATATTGATTCAATGCTTTTTGATAGTTAAAAAAACCGTTAAAGGTTCATTTTGATTAAATTGTGCCTACAGCTTAACATAGGTTCAAGCAGAACAGATTTGAATATGTTCAAGTAAGATTTCAAGAGTATTGCTATTGTTTTGAAAGAAAAGTGTCAGATTAATTAGTACATACTGATTATCCCTTTTTAAGGCTGTGGCAATATTCATAAAAAAAAAACCGTTAAAGGTTCATTTTGATTAAATTGTGCCTGCAGCTTAACATAGGTTCAAGCAGAACAGATTTGAATATGTTCAAGTAAGATTTCAAGAGTATTGCTATTGTTTTGAAAGAAAAATGTCAGATTAATTAGTACATACTGATTATCCCTTTTTAAGGCTGTGGCAATATTCATAAAAAATGCAGTTAACAAATCTGCATATGCAGTGTAACAAGAAAGGAGAAAAAAATGTGACTTGAACCCAAGCCCTCTGATAAATATCTATTCAGGTGCTCTACCAACTGGGCACTCTGACCACAGGCGATTGAACCCATCCCACTGCTATTCCTCCCTCCTTAAAAGTCTTTGCCCCCAAAAGACACCAACCCAGGCTCTTCCCTGGCAGGTTTTTCACCTGTCACTTCCAGGGCATGGCATAGCACCAGATGTAACAAGAAAGGAGAAAATGAGAAGGAACACACCGGGATTTGAACCCAGGTCCCGTGAATTTCCAGTCAGGCGCTCTACCAACTGAGCTATCTGGCCACCCCTGGGGATTGAACCTGTCTGATCTCCACAGCAGCAAATTGGGCTTCAGTTTTGGCATTTGTATATCACTTCAACACAACCAATTGAGAAATATATGAAGTACTAGTACTATTTGTTTTTATTGATAACTACAGCATAGGACATTAAAAATGGGGTATCATTGAAGTCTCTGTACCAAGGTTATAGGGGTGAAACGATACACCTCCTTCACGGTTCGATACGTATTGTATAATTTTGTCTCGGTTCGGTTATTTTCGATACGATACATTTTGATAGAAGGAAACAAATTCTACGTTGTTTTATGCTTTCCGTTTCTAAATCTAGTCACATATTTTACGAATTTTATTTGCAAATTGACTAGAAGAAATTGATTAAAATTATTTGACTGTCAAAAATTATTTTACAAGCTATCAGTCATCAAAAATTTACGTTTTCTATACTTATTTATTCTGAGTAACGTGTTATACCTTATGCCAAACCCGACTGAATAACGATCCCGACCGAAAAATGAACCGAATCGAAAATTAGAGATTTTGCACCGTGTATCAAACCGAGAAAAAATACCGCGGTGCATCGATACCGCGGTGAACCGTTTCACTCCTACAAGGTTAGCATGATTTTGTTCCTTGCACACTCATGATATAAAGCAATTTTTGACAGGCTTATGATGTGCTTTGGTGGTGCACATTATATTTTAAAAATATTGTTACAGATTAAAAATGAAACATTTCCGAAAATTCCAAGACACAACAGAGGCTCTTGCAGGTATACTTTTAATTTTTTTTCTTCTATTTTTTCACTTGGTTTGAAAAAGATCTGTGAAGAAATTCTCTTTGGAACAGAACTTCTTGAATAAAAAAAAAAATTGGCATAGTGATTAAAATATTAGGAGATGTGTATTGATAAAACATGACTTTGTGTTTTGATATTAAAGGCAAAATGATTAGTTTTTCCTAAAAATACTTATGCAATCTTGATTTGTATATGTACATATTCCTTATTCAAACTAGGCTTTTGTTGTTAGGCATGTGAGTTTCAACGTAAAAGTAATGGACTATAAACTTGAAATGAGATATTTGTGTATGTTTAAGTGTACCAAGAAAACATTTCTTGTTTTATTTAAAGCTGCAACTGCTGCTGTTGAGGGTAAGATGAGCAAGACTTTGAAGAAACTGATGAAAAAAATTATTGCATCAGATGCACAAGAAGAGTTGGCGGTAGCTGATGCTAAATTAGGAAATGTCATAAAGGTAAATTTATATTTATCAAATCGAACCTCAGTAAAATCTACTACATCTACAAAGATTTTGATTGAAGTTAATAATTTTCAATACAGAACTCTCTATTTTCTATAATTGGGAATGCTAAATGGCCCCATTCCCATTTCAAGATATTAAGGTTACCTTTTTTCCCAAGTAAATTATGTTATTTTCCTAATTGCCATTGTAGTGATGAAAAGATTAAGAAAACATAAGAAAACCAAAATATGATGGGTTTAAATATGTTCATTTTCCCAATATCCCCCAAGTCTTTGCCAATTTCTCCAATTTTGATGGCCCTGGCCTTTATTTAGTATCTAAAAGTAACTCAAGAGAGCTGCATTAACTTGCAGTACAGTCTGCACTCTGCAACATATTGAAACTGACGTTTTTTTTGTACGTAGGAAAAGTTCAATGTTAGCTGTGTATCAAACTCAGCAATCCATGAGTTGATGAGAGGAATCAGGTCCCAAATGGACAGCCTTATAACTGGTCTTCCCCAGAAGGAGATGGCTGCCATGGCCCTGGGATTAGCCCACAGGTAAGATAACCTGATTGTCTTATTTTTCAAAGAAGGGCAATCTCCAGCAAATACATGTATTTAAATGTAGAAAAGTTGATACTGATTTTGGTTTCTATTTCAGTCTTTCACGTTACAAACTGAAGTTCAGTCCAGATAAAGTTGACACCATGATTGTTCAGGCTATTTGTAAGTTCTTATAACTTTGAAGGAATTAAATGAAATTACTTTTAAAAAAATTTGAATCGGAATATTAATGTCTCAGATGTGAAAGTTTCTTCCTTTTGTTAAAAGAAAGTATTTTACAGAGTCAGTAATTGAAGGTTTTAAGCTGTCTCTTTTGAATTTTAGCCTTATTGGATGACCTTGACAAGGAATTAAACAATTACATAATGAGGGCAAGAGAATGGTATGGGTGGCACTTTCCAGAGCTGACGAAAATAATAGGAGATAACTTGGCTTATGCTAAGACTGTGAAGAAAATGGGTAATCTTTTGTGTGAATTTGCATACCAGGAATGTAAAACAAGTCAATTATTAAGATATATTGCATTACATGTACCTCATTCTTACTATAAATTTAAAAATTATAGGCTTAATCAATGTAATTTTTCCTGCAAATATTTTAATAGATTTTAAAAGTGTATTGAAATTTTAAATAAAATATTTGTTAGTTTCTCTGTTTACTTTGCAGGCTACAGAACAAATGCAGTCAGCACAGACCTTTCTGATATTCTGCCAGAGGACATTGAGCAGGAAGTAAAACAAGCAGCAGAAATCTCCATGGGAACAGAAATCTCAGAGGAAGACATTTTGAACATCACTCACCTCTGTGATCAGGTATGTCACTGCCACTAAATTTAGGACAGTAAACATTGAATGTTAGGTAATTACAGTAAAACATGCTTACAGCAAACATTCTTACGATGAATTGATGCTTGTAGCAGAGTGATTTTCATTCCGCATGGTTTTAAAACATATTGTGAACCTACCAGATATAACGAATTACGCTTATAGCAAAGCAAAATTGTCCATCCTTGACAGTTCCTTATAAGTGTGTTTTACTGTAGTTAAAATGACAACCTATGATGCATAATTGTATTGATACCTGATAAATTCTGATGTATCATCTTTTTCGTCACTACCACTGAGGTTGTCATGTAACAGAAAGTAACATCAAGTGTATAAAAAAACATGATTTTGTGTGTTTTTTGGGCTACATATCTGTGATTGTTATTTTATTTAGAATGAAAAAAAAAAGATCGGAAAGGAGGGGGGGGGGGGGGGGGGGGCAGTTTTTAAAGACAAATTGAATTGTTCGATGGTGTATTGGTGGACATGAGAAATATGTCATTATCAACAATCAATGATTAAATAACTACATTGTACTTTATTTAAAAGAACTTAACAGAATTGCTTTTATGTTTGACCCTATTGAAGCCTTTCAGGCTTCTGATTTTTGCAACCTGTCTGTCCATGGCACATGCATGTTTATCTCTAAGAAGCGTGAAAGGATTTCTATGTGGAAAAGTTTCTTGGATCAAGGAAGAATTTCTATGTTGAAAAGTTTCTTGGATCAAGGAAGAATTAATTGGATTTTTTGGATTTTAAAGCAGTTACAGTAAGAAAAATGCATTGAGATTTTTCCCCACTCACTGTGTGCACAGTGTCTTGAAAGTTATACATGGTTTTATGTGAAGTCTTTTGGAGGAGTTTGTGATGGAGAAAGGAAATTTTTTTTTTAAATATTCAGATGAACACATTGAATGCTGCAGTAGGAGAGGTCACACAACAATACAGACAAACATTATTTTAGAGTTCACTGTCTCTTGGATTACATCATGAAGTTGGCAGAGATAAATCTGAATGCCTGTAGTGCACTTAATGTGTAAGACCACACACATAGATTCTCACACTTCTGTTTTTTGTTGTTTTCTTGAACTTTCCCATCAGCCTATGAAGAAAGTATTCTGAGCTGATGTTAGGGATGAGTCATGTCGTCATTTATTTATTGTCTGAGGCGGGGGAAAGTGATTATTAATGATCTCAGTCATAAATATGTTTACATTAAAGCATTAATAACTGTAATTAAAAAATAATGTCATTGTGTTCTAAATAAACACTGGATAAAGTCAAAACAACATCAAGACAAAACAGATTATTCTTTGAATTTATTTGCATGTTTTCTTATTTTAAAAATGGAATACATGTAAAAATCTTAGTTGTATCATGGGTTCTTCGGATTTTTGCAGTCAATGATGTACCAATATTCTGATCATCTGATTTAGTAAATGAGGAATTTCACACATTGTCTGTTCATATCTGAGACTGCTGTATACTGATATTTGAGTCACTTTTAAGTGGAGAAAAAAAACTTTACTTTGAAGGCAATTAAGTAATAAAAAAATTTTCACTTTTATAAGTGATGTATAGAAGTTACAGATTCATAATGAAAAGACCAATCAGATAAGGACATTTCAGGATGAAAGTACCATAACTTAACAGAACTGGAAAAAGGACACATTTTATTTATAATCTGCCCCCCTGCAGCAAGGTATTTATTAATGACTAATAATTTTCTCAAACAATCCTTTTTTTAGGTTATAGAAATTACTGATTACCGTCAGCAACTGTATGAGTATGTGAAAAACAGGATGATGGCTGTAGCTCCAAACCTAACAGTGCTGGTAGGGGAGCTGGTGGGGGCGAGGTTAATAGCCCATGCAGGTAATTATCAGGGAGTGATTGTTATCAATTCAAACAAGTGCTTGACCAGATTATGATGCTTTCCACCTTATGACAACAGTCAGACACAGAGAGGAGTGTATGAGTGTTATTAAGAGGCTTGAACTACAGAAAGATTCACAATACACTCCTCTCTGTGTCTACTGATATCTGCCTATATTGTAGGCTCCTTGCTGAATTTGGCTAAGCACCCCTCATCCACTGTTCAGATACTTGGAGCTGAAAAAGCTTTGTTCCGAGCCCTGAAAACCAAACATGACACACCTAAGTATGGTCTTATTTATCATGCTTCACTGGTGGGTCAGGCTAACCAGAAACTTAAAGGAAAGGTGGGTTCTCAAAAAGGTCACAACTCCTTTACTTACAAAATCCATAATAAAACCTCATAAAGAAGGTCACCAAAGCTATGAGTGAAATGTGTTTACGTTTTTGTCAGATGTCCAGAATGTTGGCAGCAAAGGCTGCCTTGGCAATTCGAGTGGATGCCTTGGGTGAAGACACTAATGTGGAAATGGGGATGGAGCACAGAGCATTGCTGGAAAAACGCATGAGGGCATTGGAGGAGGGAAAGGTGGGTGGAATGTACAGAATCCAGTTTGAGAACATTCTGAAAATCTTCTGCAAAGGAGTTTGCTAGAACTGTAAATACAATTATATTTTCAAAATGGGTATTTTATTTCAGGCAAGGAAAATCACAGGAAGTGGAAAGACTCCAGCAAAATGGGAGAAGTACCATAATAAAAGGTCAGATTTGGAAAATGTTATGATATGGCTTGTGAGCTATGTTCTTGCATATGAAATGTGTTGAAGGAACAATTCAGACCTCTTTCGTGTAGCATGCAAAACATTGCAGACAGGGGGATCACTTAATACAATGTGTGTCCAGCTATTTTTTTCTTACTTGGAGGAATAACATTTTGACAAAAAAACCTGAGAACCCATATTTTAAATCAAGATAGTAAAAACTTCATTAAATGATGCTATAAGATGCAAACATCACATAATAACATGAAATTGTTTGAATGGCCAGTTCATAAAACTGCAGTACCGCAAAGTCGCTTGTATTGGCCACACATTTTTTCCTCAGAAAATTATTTAAAATTAGGGATGTGCTTAATACATCGGAACAAAATACAACCCAATTTTTTCCAGGTCACTTTCTCAGTGCCGAGGACCATTTTCCCGATCCATTTGAATTGATTACTCTTTGTAACCAATTACGTCAAAGTTTGTTACTATTACTCTAATTTCAGAGTCATATATGTCAGCCCTACCTGTTGTATTCATATACATCTACCCTACCTGTTGAAAAAAAAGATAATCGTTTCATAAATAAAATCATAATGAAAAACGATCTTTGTTTTATTTCAGCGTATTCCGCCATTTTGAACTACCGTCGCTTATATCATATACAAGAACTGCATGACACTTAAGACATAGATATATTAATAATTCTATATGAGTCAACAACTATAATCTTTGTGATATATTTTGAATTATCCTTAATTCTATATCTTATTTTTATTTCTTTAAATTTCAGATATGCAATTAGAGGTGAAAATTGTTAGGGATTCTATTGTCGCAACCGTTCACGGTAGCTCAGTCGGTAGAGCGCTCGCTCCGTGATCGAGAGGTCGTGAGTTCGAATCTCGGCCGCGACAGACCTAAGTCGATAAAAAATAGGTAGCAACTGTTCCTTCGCCATGCACTCGGCACTTTGAAGTGAAAGTTGCGGGTCCTTCGGATGAGACCTTAAAAACCGAGGCCCCGTGTCACGGCAGGCGTTGGCACGATAAAGATCCCTCACTGCCCAATGGCCCTGAGTGCCAAGTAAAGGTCAAAATTTGAAGCCCTTCACCGGTATATGGTGACGTCTCTATATGAGTGAAAAATTCTCGAATGGGACGTAAAACAATATACAATCAATCAATCAATCTATTGTCGCGTCATTGCTATATATAACTTCAGACTATGTTGTCACGTAGGGCATGACCATTGTTTATTTAACAATTATCACCTCAACACCTGCAATGAAAGCAACACGTTTTTTAAAAGAACTTAAAACACATTTCAGTCGGAAGCATATATAAAAACGTATTTGTAAAATACAATCAAGCACATTCAAGAAAATATTCATAAGACATAAATATGAAAATGTTCATTTAGCACGTCATCATGGTCACAGCACTGATTGTTCATTGCACTAGCTAACTAAAATAATTATCAATGGATACCAAGAACTGTTTTATTATCCAAATGTTTGACACTAATATCGCTTGGGTATGATTTTTGTTTACGTAATTACTGACACGCGCTTGTTGTGCATTATACTGGTAAGCATAACTTCATAACACGCTTGGAATTAATTTGAAAAGAAAATAATCAGGTATTTCTTTTATTATCTCTGGATAGATAATTATTAAAAAGATTAAATTTAAATGATCACACATGCACACTTTTAATACGTAGAGTAAAAAGCTGACTTGCTACTTTCGTTTGAGATTCGTAACTTTTTCCTCCTTTTATCTTAAGTTACTGTACTAGAAAAATTAAAGTCACATCCAATTTATGCGTTTTTTGGATGTGCATTTTACATAGGACCTGCGTTTTTTTTCAAGATTTTCACCCCAACTTTGGGGTTGTGTCTTTTACACCATTGCGGCCAATACACACGACTTTACGGTAATGAAAGAGACACCATGTCGAAAAAAGGGGAAAATTAACAAAAGCAGAATTTTTGCATGACACATGCAAATTTTGTTCAGTTCTTAAAGATATTAGGTTTCAGAAAATTACAAGTTTCAAAACCTAAAAAATCTACTTTTCTGGAGAAAAATAAAAGTAACAAGATGTGTTTGTGAAACACTGATGCCCCCGTATGGCAGCTTATGTCGAAGGTTTAAGTTTCTCAAATGCAAGTCAAAATCCAGGCCAAAAGATAAAAAATGTTGATACCCAAAGAAAGATCTTGTCTTGAGGAAAACACCTGTGAAATTTGAAAGACCTAGATACATCTGTTCAAAAGTTATGGTGAAAGTTAAAGTTTTTTAAATAAAAGTCAAACGTCAAGGTCAAAGTGGTTGGTATCCAAAGGAAGATCTTGTCACAAGGATTACATATGTGAAGTATGAAAGCCCTAGCACCAACCATTCAAAAGTTATGGCCAAGGTTAAAGTTTTTCAAAAATAGGTCAAACTCCTAGGTCAAGGTCAAAGGGTCAAAGTGGTTGGTATCCAAAGGAAGGTCTTGTCACAAGGATTACATATGTGAAGTATGAAAGCCCTAGCATCAACCATTCAAAAGTTATGGCCAAGGTTAAAGTTTTTCAAAAGTAGGTCAAAGTCCAAGGTCAAGGTCAAAAGGTCAAAGTTGTTGGTATACAAAAGAAGGCCTTGTCACAAAGAATACACATATGAAGTTTGAAACCCCAAGCTCCAACTGTTCAGAAGTTATGGCCAAGGTTAAAGTCTCATAAAATTTTGCAAAAGTGGGTCAAACTCCAAGGTCAAGGTCAAAAGGTCAAATATGATGGTACCCAAAGAAAGGTCTTGTCACAAGGAATACACATGTGAAATATGAAAGTCATAGCTCCAACCAATCAAAAGTTATGGGCAAGGTTAAAGTTGACAACAGACAGACAGACAAACAGATAAACAGACAGACAGGACAAAAACAATATACCCCCGGGATCTTTCGATCCGGGGGCATAAAAATAATTTTTATTTGCCCCAACACAAAAATATTGCATCACTTCTTCCTCTTTATTGTACGTATGCGCAGAAGAGTTGAAGAATTTACCATGGTCAATTCCATAGATATAAATGTAGGATATAATCTTCAATGAGGATGATCAGAAATTATTCCTCACTTTTGCTTGCTGCAGTTCAGTGTTGTTTACAAGTTTCACGCTAAAAGTAGAAGTTGCGTGACCTTGACATTGTTGACATTAATGATAATAACTAAGCGATATATATACCTTTGCTTTTCCGGCACTTACATTTTGCAGTTCTTTTCTTGCTTTACAGTGCAGTTGAGTTGTCAAAACTTCACTTTATTCATATTTCACATAAGTCTTTTGTTTTATGATACAATTATCTTGAAAGAGACACATGATTTTGACTCATTATGTAAACTTTAACTGTGTCAAGGTCAATCTCTATATTTTGTATAATCTCAGAAGAATAACATATACTTAACATGTTATAGTAAGTATTTCATATGTACCAAAAAACTTTATCCTCATGTATTTCTAATCTTCTTAAAGCTTTCAGAGGATATTGTATTGACTGTGTTTAAAAAAAAAGTTAAAAAGATTGAATTTTTAAAAATGAATCCCTTGACCTAATTATGAATTGTATAATTTCTGATATTACTGTGGAGTACCTGGTAGCAACACTTGTATTCCTTAAATGCTTTGACAAAATGTTCAGTGATTCCTTTCTTTTCCAGTGAGGTGAAGACTTATGACACATCTTTTGATTCTACATTGCCAAGTGCATCTAAGAAACGAAAATTTGAAGAGAATGGAGAGACAGAGGATGATGTCAAGCCTAAAGTTCTCAAAATGGAAGAAGATGGTGATGCTCCTACCTCAGAGAAAAAGAAGAAGAAAAAGAAAGAAAAGAGAAAGAGTGAAGAACCTGTTGAAGAAGGTATGGATCAAAGAGAAAGGCATATAGACTGAGACAGGCCTAGTTGAGAACTCTTTTTGTAGAGATGGGGGTGTTAAGTTTGCAAGCAAGAAACGTTATATTGCTTGTAACATGAGTATGTGGTTTTCTTGTGGTTTTCTGTATTGCAGTTTCAGTGTTCCAGTTAAAACATACTATGCTGTGACTTGTCAAACATGTATAGGACCAATGATTAGGGTAGACCTCAGTTCCACAAGTCCAATATTGTTGTAAAAAGGATTGTGTTGCTGTCTTGCTGGTCCTCTGTATTTTACCACCTTTAATTTTTTTTTTTTCAAGAGGGCACTGTTGATGACTCTTGTTTTCTGTTATTTTTATCTGTTGCAATGCGGATATGTTAACCTTAGAATATATCATGTTAGAAAAATTAAAGTACATGTATTCCAGAATTCTACAATTAACTGAGACAACCTATGTTAATGAAGAGTACTATTTCTTCCAAAAACATGAATTTTTTTATCCACTTATTCTGGTATCAACCCCTTACCTTGCAGATTTATTACTATATTGGTTTAGCAGGAATCAGATTTAGTGTTGATACATGTATCTTGCCTAAGTCATTTCAACCACAAGTTAATGAATACAGAAAAACGTGATTATATCGAAGTACCAGGGTCAGAGGATTTGCTTTGTTATAAGCAACGAAGTGCCAGGGACAGAGAATTTTGCTTTGTTATGAGTATTATTCATTACATCCAATAAGAGTATAATATACAGATACTGTAAAATCACGGGGAATGAAAATCACTTCACTGTAAGCGTAATTCATTACAAGTGTGTTTGCTACAAGCATTTTTTACTGTACTGTTTTATATATCAGATTTACGTTTTTGCAAATGGTTTCTTAGACTAATACATGTATAGGGATGATAAATGCAAAAAAAAATATATAACCATTTCTTAATTAAAATGTACATCATAACATATTTCTTGCAGTTCTGCCTCTTGAAAATTCTGAAAAGAAGAAGAAGAAAAAGAAAAAGATCAAAGAAGAGCCTGACAGTGACTGATGACATCATTATTGACATAGCAACCATTACCAATGTGTTCCACTGTTAGATTTTTCAAAACAAGTCAGAATGTTACAGGAAGGGAGGATGTGTGTATGTTGGTTGTAAAACTCATTTACATCATTTACATTGTTATTGATGAATTGTTAAATTTTACAGGAAGTAAAGAGACATTTATTATTTCATGCTTTGGGTTTTCATATAGTCTGGGTATTGCAAATACATTAGGTTTTACCATTGTTTGGTATTCATGGCTTCTGGATAATAATTTGAATAGATGAGTGAGTTGCAGGTTGCAAATCATGCAAAATAGAAGGCCTAGATAATGCAAGAGTCACATTTCTGTTCCCTATATTGTGAATGATCCAAATATACACCTTAAACCAAGGTTTATCGATTCAACAACTGTAAGTTTTGAAAACAAATATATACTGACTTTAATTTGGCTTGATATGAATTTTATATGGTGTTCTGTGGGGGGCCACTAGCATCTTTGAATTTGCACCTTTAGGGTTAAGGTGCAAAGATGCAAAGCAAGAGTGCGAAGGTGCGATATTGATCTGTTAATATTGCACTTTTGGCTTTGCATTTTAATTTTGTGGAGCTCTTTATCATTAGAGTTAAAAGACTGTATAAAAGGAGGTCCGGTGTCGCAGTTGGTGGCACGAAAAAGATTGTGCTCAATGGTCCTGAATGCCGAGTAAAGGTATAAATTTGCAGCCCTACGTAGGCAAGTGGTGGCATCTCCATACAAGTGAAAAATTCATTTTGGCGCCATCACACGTGTAAAGAACGAAAAAGTGCGGTAGGCAGTAACTAAAAATTCACCGAATTTATCCCACTTGAATTAACTCATAAAGATAGAGAGCTCCACAGTAGTAAATAACCGTTATTTACTCTGACTTTAACAAATGGTCATTTGTGAATGTCTCTCTAACGTCTTATATATAGTATACAAGCCTGTTACTCGTTAGCATTGCTTAAACATTTACATAATATAAAGCAGAAATCAATGATCGTTTTGTCTACGTTGTTCAAAGGGACATCATTTGAGTTATCGAACTTTGAAACAAAACTTGCATTATGCAAATTTCCAAAGAAACATTCAATCACAAGGACAAATTGTATATAAAAGCTGTCGGTGGGAATATGTCTAATACATTGACCAAGTAAAATTATTGTGCTTGTATAAAAACAAGAAGAATTGCACCATGCTGCACTCTGCTGCAATACAATGCGATACATTGTGATGCCTGCCAAATTGTCCAATCAAAATTAACATAGTCAATTTGTTTTTCTTAATTGAATTTAATAACTGATTGAATACACACAATTTTTTCATTTTATGCTTTGACAAAAAGGTTTCAAAAACAGGCTAGAGAGCATTTCTTTTATTCTCATATTCTTTAATATTTTTTTTCTTTGATTTGAATCAAAATTAACAATCAGTAATTAAGTCGAAGGACTTTCGCAAAGTTACGTGTTGCGGTTTCTTTTTTTATCGAATGATTAGTTTGGGTATGCACAAAAGATCCAAAAGAAACGAACACTCCTTTTTGACTGATGAGTGGATTTTTTTGTTTGCAAGAGAATTTATAGTGTTTACCATAATAAGAATTTAACTGCATTTTATTGCACTGTACTACAATGCAGTGTCAATCAATAAAATGAAGTCCATTTTTGTTTTACATTATGGTATTAAAAATAAGGTGTAAATTAACATATTTTCTATTAAAATTTTATTTTAAAAGAAGTTTTGAAAAAACAGACTGGATGGAATATTTTCATTCACATTTTCTCATATGATTGTTCTCTTTCATAAGAATCTAAATTAACAATGCAGTAATAATGTCGAAGGATCTTTTGACAAATTTTTTCATTGCTGTTTATTATTTTATGCAACGCCTAGTTTGGGTATATGAAAGATTGAAAAAGAGAGAAATCTCGTGTTTGACTGATGAGTGTAAATTTTGAGAGTGATGCAGATAAGCACTAGGAAGGATATACAGAATACATATATATTCTGATAACAGTACTTAGAGCTAAGTTCTCACCAAAGAACAGTTATTTTTGCTGATTTTTTTTATTGAAAGACTGATATGGATATACAATGTATGCGAAACATCCCGAGGAAAATTGGAGTGTCGAGTGAAGTTTAATTGCAAGCTAATTAATTTTGCTTTTAAATAAAAATATAGCTGTCCTACAATACATTGCATTGTAATGCTTGATGTACTGTCTAATTAAAATATACTTGGTCAATTTTTATTATAAGGCAAAACAGTAAAAAATATCAACTTTCCTGTTTGACTGATGAGTGAATATTTCGAGACTCAAACAAAGCGCCGATGACTTTGTAGAACAATCAAAGACGCTTTTCAAACTGCTTAGCAGTACTTGTTTAGTGAGATAAGCTCACACTAAGTCCTTTACACGCGACATTACCCATAAAGCTCCAATTTTCGCCGTAAATTATCAAAAAAAGCGAAGATTAATTAAGTAGATTGTGATTTTTTAAATCCCACTCATTTCTGTTCAAAATCTTAAAAATCTTTTGGAAAATTCTGGAAACACATGTTTATAGCACGTTTTTAAAAGAAACTATGGTGGCATATTTCTGCCCCTTGTGTGCAAGTTATTTTTCTATCAAATAAGTCGACATGCAACATAACTATGTTGATATGCAAGAAAATTGCAATCAAATAAAAATTATAAAAAATCTTCAAAAATCTCAAATATCGCCCACCTGTGACATCCAACATGCTAGATGCTACTTATTTATGTCAACATGCATTTTATTTATGTTAACATGCTAGATAAGTATGTCGACATGCAATTTATTTATGTCGACATGCAACTTGGTTATGTTGACATGCAAGATAAATATGTTGACATGCAACATATTTATGTCGACATGCAACTTATTTATGTTTACATGCATTTTTCAGATACAGTTCTGCTATTATCTTAATCTTAGACCTTGAAACATAGTTCAAAGTCACTGCACATTCTTTAAAAGAGACCTCGGACTAACAGATGGACGGACGGACACACTAATTACTATAGGTCGCCAGCAGAGAGGGGCCCTAAAAACGTTTTATAATCTACGGTCACGTTTCTGAATCGCCAGGACATTTTATCTAAGGAAATTCAGCTTATACATGTACTTTGTTGTCCACCTCATATTATAGAAAATTATTTAAACTGCAACTTTTGCTTGAATAAATTTTGGATCATTAAAATCAACTTCAGTTTCACCGACCAAAAAAAGAAAAAAAAAGAGAAAAAAAAAAAGAAAACCAGAACCGTGCCTCATGTCTTGAGTAGTAAGAATCTGCACGCTCGCACAAATGTTCAAATTATGTATCATATAATTTCGTTTGCATTTAAATGTATTCATTTAATTCAAAATCTTATCATTTTGAAAATATCATATTTAAAAGAGTATATATATATATCCAAAATAAAATCGCAAATCGATCATATTCACTGTAAACTGGGTCTTCAGACATTTACATCGATTTGTGATTTCATTTTTGGATATTTACTTTTTTAAAATTATATACATATCCGCTACTCAACATAACTAAGTTGCATGTCAACATATTTATCTCGCATGTCAACATAACGAAGTTGTATAACTAACATAGCTAAGTTGCATGTTGACATAAACAAATTGCATGTTGACATAACTAAGTTGCATGTTCATGCCAAGAAATCTCGTCCATTTTTCCACAGCGATGGAGTCAATAAAAGTGTAATTGATGCAAATCACCCATATTCCCCTAACGCTGGCGAGACAATTAACGGCAGCAGATTTGAGGGGGTGGATCCTAAGTTTTCCGTTTTCTTAGTAAAAGAAAAATAAACTTCTACCCCAGGAAGTAGCCTCCTATGCCCTGAAAAAAATAGTTCCTGTCAAAAACCTTTATTTATTTACAAAATATGTAAAATGCACTAGACACAGGTACCAAAATTGTAAAAATAGACTGGAAGGAAGTAAAAAAAATTCAAAAGGAAAAAATAATAATTTTATAGGTATGGAACTACAATTGACTAAGTTCATTTTCATTGGTCAATTACCGGTATGATACCTTAATAAGGCGCGAGACTTCCACAACAACCAAGTTCATCGTGCCCGATCTTAATTTATACTAGGAAAAAAAATATTTTGATATATAAACACTGAAAAATTTGAAAGGCGTCTAATTTTTACTGAACAATTAATTAGTTCACTACAATTTATTTCACTTACTTTTTCTTCTTTTTCTTTTTTTTACTTTTTTAACCGCATATGATTTGCATGGAAAATCGAACCCCCCCCCCCCCTTTAAAAAAAACAGGAAAAAAGGTAAAGGTGCAAAGGCTTCTAAATAATAAGTATTCTGGTTTTAATTTCAAACCAGTAAAACTAAAGATCCTTCCCTCAAAACTGCTGACATTAATTGCCTCGTATGGTGGCATATTTCTGCCCCTTGTGTGCAAGTTATTTTTCTATCAAATATGTCGACATACAAGATTAATATGTTGACATGCAAGATAGTTATGTCAGCATGCAACATAAATATGTTGACATGCAAGAAAATTGCAATCAAATAAAAATTATAAAAAATCTTCAAAAATCTCAAATATCGCCCACATGTGACATTCAACATGCTAGATGCTACTTATTTATGTTAACATGCAAGTTATTTATGTTAACATGCAAGATAAATATGTTGACATGCAACATATTTATGTCGACATGCAACTTATTTATGTCGACATGCAACTTGGTTATGTTGAAATGCGAGATAAATATGTTGACATGCAACATATTTATGTCGACATGCAACATATTTATGTCGACATGCGACTTATTTATGCTGACATGCAACTTAGTTATGTTGACATGCGAGATAAATATGTTGACATGCAACTTATTTATGTCGACATGCAACTTATTTATGTCGACATGCAACTTATTTATGTTGACATGCAACTTATTTATGTTGACATGCAACTTAGTTATGTTGACATGCGAGATAAATATGTTGACATGCAACTTATTTATGTTGACATGCAAGATGAATATGTTGACATGCAACTTATTTATGTAAACATGCAGCATATTTATGTCGACATGCAACTTATTTATGATGGCATGCTGTTTGTTTGAAAGAGGGTATAGTTTAATCAAAATCTG